CGCAGCATTGAGCGCCGAGAGCAGCGCCACGGCAGCCAGGGCTCCGCGCATCCCCCAGCCCGCGCCCCGGGGGCCTCGCTCCCCGTCTCGTGCCATGTTCTCTCTGCACACCTCGGGTCGGGTAGGGCTCGGCTGCCTCCCGCCCGGGGAAGCCTTTATACGCCGTGGGCAAGCCGTGGGCTGGTGGCAGCGCCGTGAGTCACGCCGCCCTTTGGCCTGACTGGCAGGGCGGGTTGGGGACAGTAGTGGTGGCGCCTGAGCAGCCCGGAGGGACAGGCGGGTGGAGAGGGGGAGCGAAGCAAGTGGCGACAGCCCGCGGAGGAGGGGTGGGCAGGGCTCACGCTCCCAGTGCCCGGCCAAGCATACCAGCAAACCGGCTTCTCGCTCCATTCCCATCCCCCACCTCCCGCCTTGCCCGTGGGCATTGCTGTGGCCCAGACGAGCAGAACAAGGGTCAGCAGACTGAGGGGGAGAGCAGGAATTCTTAGGGCCTGAGAAGTGGCTGGATTCCACCCCTTCCTCCCCCGACACTGCCCTCTCTGGAGAAAAGGATCAGCATGCCCAGATGCCAAGGCGTGTGCCCACTGTCCCTGGGAGGTTTGCGCTGGGCTGGGTCCCAGGCTGCCTATCATTCCTCCTTGCAGTCACAAGGCCTTATGTGGCCACTGAAGACCCCACTCGATCTTTCCCAGGCAGGTGGACAGAGAAAGGGAAACAGCTGGCATTGGAGGGTTAAAGGAGCCATCCATCAGAATCAGAAAAACCCAGCCCTCTCTGGCAAGCATCTATGAAGGGAAATTTTTAGGATGTGACAGGCCAAGAACTCTACCATGAGATCCATATCTGGAAGGCAGCAGAGTGATGAGAAAAATAAAACTCCAGAATGGACATCAGGAGACCTGGTTCTAACCCTATCCTGTTGCTACAAGCTGGGGGGCTCTGAGCATGTCCCAGGACCACCCTGGACTGATTCTGAGGTGCTTTCTGGCTGAAGGGTTGGAACTCTGGCCAGGCCCCTTCTGGACCTTACTTAGCCTGTCTTACTGGAGGGGGCATTTGCCTCATACCTCCTGGCTACCCCTCCACACCCCCTCCTTTTTTGCATATGCTTGCTGTGCCTCAAGGACCACTGTTCCCCCAATGCAGAGTCACTTCTCAGTCTCCTCAGAGGATCTCTTCACTCCCTATCTTTCTCAGCTTTCTCTATGATGGCTCTGCCTTCCTGGGGCCCCAGGGAAGTGGTGTGGGAAGATCCAACTAGAAGCCAAGATTTTGTTTCCACATCCCATGATCTCAGAGGAGGAGGTGGTTCCCTGCCATTGAGCCAGCTGGAGCTGTCAGGGTTCTATGTCAACGTCTGGATTCCTGACTTTTAATTGGGATATTGACCAATTTGCATATTCTTAAAAGAGCACACAGGATGAGGAATCAAGAAAGTGTGAAGGTCCAAGTGGTTTATGAAGGACCTCAACTATGGGGACATGATATTTGGGAGGGGATGGAGGTGACCCAGACAATGTCATCTAGTTCCTCCCGACTATAACTTACTATGATCTATTGAAGAATTGCCATATATCGTCACGTCTTTTCAGCTAGGCTTAGGATGCCAACCATCAGGCTTAAGACTGATGGGGAGAAGCTACAGGGAGATAAGAGTTGGAGGTCAGCCCCAGTAAGATCTTCATTTAATTCACTAAAATTTACTGAACAGTTGGGCACAGTAATGGGTGTTGGAGGTACAGAAATGAACAAGACAAGAAGCTTGTGGTTTGAGCAGTTGGAGTTCCATGGAGCTTCCTGAGCTTTTCTTTATCCTAATATTCATTACAGTTATTATTGCCTGACCTCCTGCCACCAATGCCCACCATTAACAACAGAGTCTCCAGCTCCTGAGGGAAGGGGTCACATCTTGTGTAGCCCTGTCTCTCTCAACACCTAGCACAGTCCCTGGCTTGAAATAGCCACTCAGTAATTACTTGTTGAATGAGCGAATGAACAGATTAATGAAGGAAAGGCTGCTTAGTGAGGGCATGTCTGTGTGAAACGATGTGTGCGTAGTGGTGGTAGGGCTTCAGAATGCAACTCTGCTTATGCTGCAGAACTGGCCCCATCTTCCTTGGAAGGCTGCCTGTCCAGTGGTCAGGAGAGTGAGTGGAACCTGATACACACCTCTCCATTCCCTCTAGTTCAAAGCCCACAGCCAGTAGAAGGAGCGAAGTTCCAGTTCCTCTTGGAACCAGCCAGGCTTTATCTGACAACCTCAGGCCAGGATGCTGCCCCTCTTGGGATACAGGATTCAAAAGGCTGTGGTATGCACAGTGTGCTGGATGGGTGGAGTGCTTGAGATATTGCCCTGAGGCCAAGAGAGGGGCAGAAAGAGGGCAAAGGAAAAGCCAGATTTCCTTCCACTTGACTCTTTTTGTTAATTCCCTCTCCAAGTCTTTCTGTGTAAGAATGTGGTATTTTACAAGGAACAAGAAGGGTGGGGCATGTTGCTATGGTGTACAAGGCAGTTATCTTCACCCATTCTCCTTCATCCCCAAACAGCTGTATCCGAGAGGCTGGCTTTGCTCTATTCTCTGTCTCCTTTCTCCTCTGTCCTCTCTTGATAACCTCTCCTATGGATCTGCCTTTCTCTTTCTCTGGCCTGTCTCAGAGTTGCCCCTGTTTAAGGTCTAGCTCTGAGCCCTCTTCTTCATCAAGCCTTGCCTTCCGTGCCAGCCTCAAGGTTTCTCACTCCCTGAAGTCTGCAAGCCCCAGGGACTAGGAGGTAATGAGCAAGGCCTTTGGAATCAGATGGACCTAAGCCTGAAACTACTTTTTAACTATGTGACTGGGTACATTACCCAACTTCTCAGAGGAGACTCAGAGGAGACTGACTGATCAAATTCATGTAAAGCACTTCACATACAGTAAATGTTCAGTGAACTTCATGCAATTGGCTATGGGCTGTCTCAACGTGCTGACACTCATACACTACTGTGCCCTGTGCTGTTGACCAGCTTCTTAGTTCTTCCAGATCTTAGTTCTTTAGTTGAGTTATAGTATGCTTAAGGAAGAGACCTCTCTTCACTGTGTCCCTCACAGCAGGGGCTTGTGCCAAGTAGGAATATTTGATTAATTGATTGTTGACTTTTTTTCAGAAATAGAACTTTGTGTGGCTGGTAAACATGGCCTCTCGTCTGAATACAGTGGCTTTGAATACAGTTGGTTATGTGGGGCCCTTCAATCTCTGGCTTCCTAAGCCTCCTGAGACTTTTTGAGAGGCAGATACATCCGTGTAGGCTGTCCTGCCTAGGATTCTCTGTATGAGCTGGTACATTCTACTTACTATTAGATAATAAAGTTAGCTATTAATCTGGCCTGTTTTTTTGACATAGGGAGCTCAAGATACAGTGTGGGGTAGAGGGTATAGCTCAAGTGGTAGCAAGGTCCTGGGTTTAATCCTCAGTATCTCCTCTAAAAATAAATAAACCTAATTACCTCCTCCCTTCCCACCACCAAAACTTTTTTTAAATAATTAATAATACAATAATAAATAAATAAAGTATTTTTAAAAAGATACAATGAGGACATAGGGAGATATCTGAGTTTTCTTTTCTGGAGGCCAAAGAAGACAAGAACAGCATGTGCTATCTTCACAATGAGAGGTAGGTTTTTCCATTAAAACGCAGATGCTTCATCTCCAAAGGTTAAATAGGATGGTCCTTAAAAAATGATTCCAGCTGGTTAACTTTAGGGCCCTGGAGAATAAAATCTAATTCAAGAATATACTCCAACTTTAATTCCATGGCATTTCCACCTGACTGTGAAGTGAATAATTTTCATTTACTCTAAGGCCTGGAACTTGGGTATTTTGGTCCAAAGGTTGGCAGCTATGCTGTGACTTTTGATGATGCTTTGCTGCCTCTCCACCCCTGCCCTTCCCCTTTGCCACTGGTTAAGGAGAAAGTTTCTCTACTAATTGCCAGCACGTATATCTGCCCAACTGCTTCCAGGTTTAACTCCCCATTTCTACATTTTAACTCCAAGAAACTTCAAGTCACCGGACCAAAATTAGAAATTCTCTCATTTTCCTTGCCCATCCATCCATCCATCCATTTATTCAACAGACTGGGTGCTTACTATCTGCCAGGAACTGTGTGAGGGGCTAGGAATAAGATGGAGAGCAAAACCAGACACCATTCCTGCCTTCATGAAGCCTACAGTCTAAGTCAGGAGACAGAGATTAACTAAGTAGTCACAGATGTGAGGGTATAATTCGAAATGAGACAGTGAGATAGGCCCCTAAAAAAAAAAAAAGAATGTGATTCTGTGAGACTATATCACTGAGGAACCTGTCCTAGATATGGAGTGTGGGATCAGGGAAGGCTTCCCAGAGGAACTGCTGGTGTTTGAGTTGGAATCTGAAGATGAGTGGTCATTAACTAGATGACAGTGTGGGTGGAGAACTGCAGGCAGAGGGGATAGCAAGTGTGAGGCCCTATGGCAGGACGTACCATGGTTAATTTGAGGAACCAGAAGAAGGCAAGTGTGGCTGCAGCATAGAAAGGACTGTAAGCAAGGAGGGAAGGGAGTGAAATGAGACTGGAGACCCAGACTCTGTGGGTGGGACCTCATAGGGCTGGGGTCTTTACTGTAAGAGGAATAG